TAATAGTTTATTTATTTTCTTCTAACACAGGATGTAAGCTGTCTCTCTTTTTTAAATTTGTTTATTTATTTTGAGAGAGACAGAGAGAGTACTAGCAGGAGAGGGGCAGAGAGAGAGAAGGAGAATCTCAAGCAGGTACCACTCTGCCAACGCAGAGCCCAACGCAAAGCTCGAATTCACAAAACCATGAGATCATGACACAAGCCAAAATTGAGTTGAACGCTCAACTGACTAAACCACCCAGGCACCCTAAGATGTAAGCTTTCTGATAGCAAATCCTTATCTTTTTTCTCACTGCTTATATCCAGGACTTAGTGCTTAGAAATGGCATATAACAGGGACTTAGTTAATATTTGCTGAATGATGGATTGAATGAATGAATCGTTCATTTAGGAAATTTAGAATGGATAGCCATCCTAAATTTCCCATGAGCCTTAGTTTTGAATTTTTTGCCTGTTAATATACTTCTTATTTCTACTTTTTAAGAAGTGTATCCTCAACCTATAGAAAGGATTATACCTTAGACTTACTTTGACTACTGGAAGGACTGTCCAGGGGTACTTGGGTGGCTCAGTTGGTTAAATGTCAGACTTCAGCTCAGGTCATGATCTCAGGGTTCGTGAGTTCGAGTCCTAGGTCAGGCTTTGCGCTGATAGTGTGGAACCTGCTTCAGATTCTCTGTCTCTTTCTCTCAAAAATATATAAACATTAAAAAAAAAAAAATGTCCAGATTTGTTCTTGTAATCATAAACAGATGTTTTCCTCTTTTGGGTTTTTATTCTTGAAGTAAATGAATCGTAACATTTGAAAAGAAATGTTTATGGAAACATTACTGGTCCTTTTTGAAAGCACATTTTTTTTCTGAAATAAATTAGGAAGTTTCCATTTGACATTCCATACATACACGTCCTCTTTTGATCTTGATTAATAGGGGCGCCTGGGTGGCGCTGTCGGTTAAGCGTCCGACTTCAGCCAGGTCACGATCTCGCGGTCCGTGAGTTCGAGCCCCGCGTCAGGCTCTGGGCTGATGGCTCAGAGCCTGGAGCCTGTTTCTGATTCTGTGTCTCCCTCTCTCTCTGCCCCTCCCCTGTTCATGCTCTGTCTCTCTCTGTCCCAAAAATAAGTAAACGTTGATCTTGATTAATAGATAATTTGATTTAAATTACTTTTGGGGATCTTGTTATCTTTAGACTATGAAAATATTTTCAGAATATTCTTGGGAACAATTATTAAGGAACATAATACTTCCTTGTAGAGAGATCCAATTTATTTTTAAGTAATAGCATGGAGACTCCTTGAATCTGAGATCTAAAGTTTTGAAATAATCTTGTTTAGATATTTTGGGCTTTTAAAAATTATTTTTCTCCATAATACAGTGTTTATTTTATAGATCTATTTATGCTAAAATTTGTTTGTTTCTTTCTTTGAGAGAGAGAGACAGAGACAGAGCGTGAGTGGGAGGGGCAGAGAGAGAGGGAGACACAGAATCCCAAGTAGGCTTCAGGCTCTGAGCTGTCAGTACAGAGTCCAATGTGGGGCTTGAACTCACAAACCATGAGATCATGACCTGAGCCGAAGTTGTATGCCCAACCAACTGAGCCACCCACGCGTCCCTTAAATTTGTTTCTTAAATTCCTAAATGATTTTTATATTTAGAGATTCTAAAAATTGCATGTTTTTGATATTATTACCACTTTATGTTTCAGAATGTGCTCATTTACTTTTGGCTCATAATGCTCCAGTAAAGGTGAAAAATGCTCAGGGATGGAGCCCGCTGGCGGAAGCCATCAGCTATGGAGATAGACAGATGAGTAAGCAACATAAATTATGTTGTTGATATATATGCTAAAAATATGAAGTTATTTCATTTGACATAATTTTCATTTAGGGTAACTTTCCATAGTATGAAAGGTTTGTAGCTATTTGTAAACTTGTATGCGAATTGTTCATGACTTAGGAACTTGAACATTGGGTAGTACACAAAAAGAATTGAGGAATCGTGTTTAAAAGTATGTTATTATTTTTTCTTCTTTTACAGTATTCTGCTCTTGATATTTTTCCATTGTTTTACTTATTCAGTATGAAGTATTTTTAAAAACACTGAGACCCAACTGTCCTTTTTGGCAACTAAGTTATATGGGAACATTAATTGGAACTGAAAATAACCACAGTGTGTTGTAACAGTTATCTTTTTGCTTTAATTGCTGGGTATAGGCTGTGCTGAAAGTGAGAAGCAAATCTCTTTGTTTTAGTCTTTGAGAATTAAAAAAAAGTCACGTATTTTCTCACAGTATATGGAGTGTTCAGTTACTCTACCTCCCCTATTCCTAAGTTTTCTTTTTTCAACTTATACAGGTCTTATTTATGTCAAGCACATCTCAATAGTTGAAAATTGTATAAAATTTCAATCTGGATGAATAAGAATATTATTTTTCTGGTAATATCTTTTTATAATTTGAGGCTGAAAATAATTAAATCTAGCCTTGTGGAAGGAACGGTAAAAAAAAATTGGGCAGTTTATTAAAGAAGTGTATAACATTGAACACTCTCAGAATGTTACCATGGATTTAGTTCTGTTTGATGCTAACATTTTGGGCTCTTATGCTTTAGCTTTTATGTAATCCACATAGTACATGTTTGTGGACTTTCTGAACACTTTGAGCAACTTTTAATGGTGAAGTTACATTTGGCCTTAAGATTTAATGAGATAAAATAGTGATGATTTAACAATTATATAGTATATATATTTTTTGTTATTTATTGTCCTTTCTGGACAAACATCAAGAAGCCCTTATGAAAGTAAGAAACCATACTAATTCTAGAATTATGTCAGGGAAAAGATGAAAATATACAGATCTAATAAACTAAGAATAAAGTCAAAGTTGCAGCAACCAGTCTGAAGAAACTTTCTCTGATGTTTCTAAGCCATTAGCAGAATGGAGAGGAAACCAGATAGATTCCTGGGCTTCTGACTTACACTGAGACTTTTGTGGCTTTCACATAACTTTTTTGTTTTGCACTTGATCTTAGCCAAAAGGCTGAGAAGTGGTAACTTTTATTTTTATGTTTGTATTTATTTATTTTGAGAGAGAGAGAGCAAGTGAGCATGTGAGTGAGCGGGGGAGGGGCCGAAGAGGGAGAGGAGAGAGAGGATCCTAAGCAGACTCCATGCTGTCACCATAGAGCCCATTGAAGGGCTTCATCTCATGAACCGTGAGGTCATGACCTGAGCTGAAATCAAGCCACCCAGGCACCCCAATAACTTTTATTTAGAGTCAGTGAATTTTTAATGAGTCCTTACTATAAAGCATGTATATAGGGTAAGATGTAGAGAATGAAAACATGGCCTCTGCTCTTGAGGAATTATAGTCTGTTGGGTAGCCCAAGAAATAGTTTTCCTGGAAAATCAGTTAATGGACTTTAATATAAAAGATTGAGCCACATAGTAGTTGAGGTTTGCTTTTAAAGTGATTTTCTTCTATAGAGTGATGGCTTGGATACACATTCTGAATAGTATTCCATTGTCAATCATTGAATAATTATATATCCATAATTCTTCAGTGGTTTTAAAAAATCATTTCCCATCACATGAAATGGAAATATTTAACTGCTAACTTAAAGGATAATAAACCTAACAACTCTTATGCTACTCTTAAGTATTTAGAAATATTAATCTATAACTCTTAAGTACTTAGAAATATTAATATAAAAATATGAATGTGTTTATAATGGTGTTAAATTGGTCTTTACTTTGAGATTGTTTTAAGTATTATGATTTAAGTTTTTGATGGCTTGTGTTACATTAAAACATTCTGGGCATAGAAAGTTACATTATTTGAAAAATCAGAGATAATCTAATATTATAAATTATTACTGAAATATCTAATTAGCAAAATATAATCTAATATTATACATTATTAGAAAAAACTGTGACCTGTTTCTTTTTTGGTCTGATTTCTGCTAAAGTTTTTGTGCTACAGAACAGTGAGATAATGCTAAACTATTCATCTGAGACTTTTTAGAATTATTTCACTTGAGGGGCACCTAGCTGGCTTAGTCAGAAGAGCATGCAACTCTTGATCTCAGGGTCATGAGTTCAAACCCCATGTTGGGTGTAGTGATTACTAAAA